GTATCTGTGTATTCAAAGTGGTTAGGATAGATATATAGTTACATTCTCTTAATGAATAGAGGGATTTGTTCTAATGGTGTTTGTAAATAGGATATCAAATCCACATATTGTACAGCAGTTAACCACTAGGAAGAATGTATGCAATGTGTTAATTATTGAAACTGTCCTACTAATTTGGTTTGAAAAAAAAATTAATGGTGCAGCTGAGAAAAGTAAAGACAGCCTAAGGGAGCTGCAGCCGCCATAGAGCGAAGGAACACACATACTACAAGATTTCAAGAAGAAGAAGAAAAATCCATTTAAAGGAATAAAGCTGAAAAGCTACCCAATTTAGAAAGAAAACTGGACACACAAATTCAAGAAGCTCAAAGAATTCCATTATGACAACTCTAAAGGGATCTATGTCAAGAAACACAATAAGCAAGCTGTCAAAGTCTCAGACAAAAAAAAAAAAAAAAAAAAATTCTGAGAAGCAGCAACAGAATCATACACAAGGGAGTTCCTGTTAGGTCATCAGCTGATTTCTCAGTAGAAACTTCCTGGGCTAGAAGTGAAGAGGAGGGTACACTTAAAACACTAAAACCAAAAGAACCTATCAACCAAGAGTAGTATGCCTGGCAAAGCTGTTGTTCAAAAATAAAAGAGAAATTAAGGCTTCCCCAAATAAAAGTTCAGTGAATTGAGTGTAACCACCTTATTTCCGAGACCTTCAACTTGAAGTGAAAAGAAAAAGCAACAACAACAACAAAAATACAAAAAAAAACCCAAAACTGTTAGTTGTAAATATATAAATGTAGAATTCTGCATTAAGCAATGCAGGTGCATAAACCATTTTTAAATCTGGAATAGACTTTTAAACACCAAAAGCATAAAAGAAAATTAGAAATCTATGTTAATGATACATAATATGAAAAGAAGTAACTGTATCATCAATAACAAAAAGTAGAAACACAGAGCTATAAACATGTAGAACATTCTTATGGGAATGAGTGAAAGAATTATAAAATTTAAATAGATTTATCACTTTAAGATGCTTTCTATCACTACCATGATATCACAGACATCTGCAGGATATACACAGGATGTATCTATAGGCTCTAAAAGGAATGAAATGAAAAGATAACCAAAATATATCACTATTAAAAAATCAACACAAGGCAAACAAGATTATCTTTGCAATTAACAAAATTCATTAAAAAAAATTCTGAACAGTGCCCATGGATATGAAGATTTAATACTAAAATGTCAACATTAATGTTGACATTATCCAAAGCGATCTGCATAGTTAATGCAGCTTCTACCCAAATCTCTGCACTTTCCAAACAATCATTCAGAATCTCAAGGAACAAAAGGAGTCAAACAATTCTTTAAAAAAGAATAATGTTGGGGGCCTCACGCTTCCAAAATACTACAAATCCATTCATCGGGGTATTGGTACAAGGACAGATGCATGGGCCAATCAGAGTAGGGAGCCTGGAAATCAACTGCTGCAGATACAGTAAAATGATTTTCCACAAGGATGACAAAAACATAAGGTGGAGAAAAGGACAGCCTTTTCAACAAATGATGTTGAGAAAACAGGATATTAACATGCAAATAATAAAGGTAGATGTATACTTTATACTGTAAACAAAAATTATTTCAAACATACTAAAAATTTGACCCAAAGAGATAAAAGTATAAAACTTCTAGAAGAAAAGTTTCAGAATACTGGATTTGGCGAAGACATCAATAATATTACATCAAAACACAGATAACGAAAGCAAAAATAAATAAGAGCTACATTAAGCTTGGAAACTTCATGCGTCAAAGGAAACAATATGGTGAAAAGTCAATGTACAGAATTGGAGAAAATATGACCATAAATAAAATAACAAAGTGAAAAACAGAGCCAGGTATGGGGCACACACTTGTAATCTCAGATTCTAGGAGGCTGAGGCAAAAAGGCCACAGATTTGAGTCCAGCCTGAGAATTTAGCAATGTGGCAAGACCATCAAAATTTAAAAAACAAAGTTCAAGGGATAGGGATGCAGCTCAGTGAGAAGGCCCTGGGTTCAATCCCCAGCAGTGCAAGAAAAAAGAAAAGAAAAAAGAAACATGGGCAAAGCACTTAAACATTTCTCCAGAGAAGATACACACACGGCAAGCGAACACATGGAATGACGTTCAATATCATCCACAATCATCGATGAGGATCAAAACCGCAAGAGGATGTCACACCACACCCAGTACGGTGACCTCTATGAAAAAATCAAAAACATAACAAGCATTGGTAAGAAGGCGAGAGAATGGAACATGTGTGCCTGGTGGGCAGGCGTGTGTGACGGCACAGCCACTGTGAGAAAGGGCATGCGGAGTCCCCTAAAGACCAGAGATGGAACTATCTCGTTCTGACTGTCTATGGAACCAGCCATAGAACGAACCCACTTCTAGGTATCTATCTAAAAGAACTCCGGGCAGGATCTCAGAGAGGTACGTGTACCTCACGACCACCAGAGCACTAATCACAAGGCGAGAGCTGGGAGCGACTGCATGCCTATCAAAATATGAATGAGAAAATGCGGAATGATAATGCAACAGACTAGTAGGCAGCTTTGAAAACGGGCACCTGTCGTACTCTACATTGATGAGCCTTGAGAACATTATGATGAGCAAAGCACACCAGTTACAAACGGGCCGATAACGCACGTTTCCACTTACATCTAACATCTAGAATAGTCAAAATTGTAGAAACATAAGGTACGTGATGGCGACTAAGGACCCGGGAGGGAGGGACAAGGAGTGTGTGATGGGCAACCGTGTTCCAACTCCCCAAATGAAAACGTTGAGATCTGTGGCGCAACAAGATAACACTACTGAACTCTGAGGCTAGTAAATGTAATGTTATGCAATTTTTATAATAAAAAGGGGCGCTGTACTAAATGAGATACAAAGTGTGACAAGCAAGTCCCAAAGAACTTTGGCAGCATGTGAAAAGCTGCCATAAGCACACACTCGCTGCTACTGCCCTTCAGTGTCCTGGGCTGACCCTGCCTAAGGAACACTCCTCACCACCCTCTCCCTTATCCATGCCCAACTCTCCCCCACCCCATGTGCCACAAGAAAGCGTTCAGTTTCCACTCATTCTCTCCTGGGACAGAGCGTGAAACCAAATTCCTAAGGGACACACCTACACTTCCCAGGTCTCTACACAAGTTCTTAAGTATAATGTATCTATTTACATATCGGCTCAAGAGTAATAACATTGGGATATGCAAAGATGAAATGCTTTCCTTATTATCCTGATATTAAAAATAGGACTCTATTTTTAACAATATGTCCCTAAACACAGAGAATCATGTGTTTACATGCAAAACACTCTGTGACACACAAGGTTGTTCTAGTCCGCACTGCGGTCAGAGCGGACAGTTCCCACCCTGTGGATGTGCTGAACATTGAGGGCTGTGTTGGTGTGCATCCTGTGTGTCCCCCAAAAGCTCCTGGCTCAAGGGCCTGGTCCCCTGAGAAGCTCCTTTCAGTTGAGATCTTCAGGGTACTAAGAGCACACCTGGCAAGGCAAGGTGAGACCACAGCTCCCTCTTCTGTCCTCTTCCACCCTTGGCACGGAATAGTAGCTCTGCCCCTCTACAGCTCACACCACAATGTGCGGCCTCACCATAGATCCAGCATGTGTGGGACCACATGACCATGGACTGAGATCTCGGAAACAGTGAGCCTGGGTCATCCCTTCCTCATCAGCAGTTGGCCTCAGGATTTGTTATGGTAACAAAAAGCTAGGCCAAATGTCAATGGAACAACTCCTGACCCCAGTTTCTTCGCTTCCTCTTTCCTGCTGTACAACCATTTCTTTTCTGATTCAGGAACCCAGAATCACTCCTTGCCACCCTCATCAACATTTTCTCTTTAAAAAGAACCTAGGGGCTGGGCACGGGCCTGTGATCCCAGAATTCTGGGAGGCTGACACAAGGGGATCACCAAGTTCAGGCCCAGCATGGGCAATTTAGTGATGTAATGAGACCCTGTACCGAAAAAACAGAAACCTAATACTCAGTGAAGAAAGACAACCTGGCAGAGCGGACGCGCTCTGCTTCTCAAAGGTATTTGAATTTTGAACAAAGAATGAACTCTTTTGGTAAAAGTAATGAAATTCTACTTGTAGAATTTAAGCTTACCGCACTGAGATTGGGAGAAGCTGAGAAATAAGGGCTTCCTGGAATTCGTCAAGCTGCAGCCTACCTGGCGGACCCAACGCCCAGAACCCCACAGCATCATCCTACACGGACAGCGCCAGGGCCTGACGCTCAGAGTCGCCCCGTTAGGACTGGTGGTCACCATTATCATCGTCATTATAAATGCAAATATGCCACAGACTATAAAAACGATTATTCTACCATGAGACCACTGAAAACTCACACGGAAACCCTTTAAAGTCTAACAAATAGCTCATTGTAGTTCTTTTTAAACAGTAGAGGAGGAGAAGGTGAAGGAGAAGAAGGTGTGGGAGAGGGAAGGCAGCGGAAGACAGAGGGCCACATGCCCAGTCCCCGTGGGACAGGACCAGCAGCTGGAGATGGCGGAGGCCTCAGAGCCACCTGTTGTCACCAGGGGGGCCCCTAGTGCTCCAAGCTGTAGATCTGAGGGGCATTTGTGCTCTCAGACCTGTTTTAGAGAAAATACACCCTTGCCAATATTTTTTCTCTTTAGAATTGTGAAAGGCACAAAGGAGAAAGCTTACCTGAATGTAATACACGCCCTTCTCCTGCGCATACATCATTAGAAAGCAGTAGTCTAGGTTCTGCTTTGTTCTCCATCTGAAAGGGTTTCCAAACATAGGTCAGGGGCCAGAGGCAAATGTAGTACGTAAGCTTAGCTGCACAAACTCCAGTGTCTGCAACACACGCACACACACACACACACACACACGTGCAAGAGCACCAGCAGCAGTGAAGCAAATTCACTTTTCCTTAATGAAGTCTTTACCAAAATGCCTTTCTGAGAATCTAATCCTCACAGTGGCCTGAGGAAAAGGACTCTCAGGTCAGTCAAGTTTGGGAGGCAGCCTCTGCTCATTCAGAGACTCGCTCCTATTAGCATATTAAGAGGGGTTAATGTATCCAGCAGGGAGGACATTAGGGGAGGGTAAAAAATTTAAATCTGCTGTTTTCCAAACTTCTTTCAACACAGGCCCTTTTTTCAATAAAATGTCAGTTAATATCTCACTAAACTAGTTTTTTTTTTTGAAAATTATACTGAGGCACAGTACTGCCTGCCTGTAATCGCAGCCCTCTGAGAGGCTGAGGCAGGAGGATCACAAGTCTGAGCCCAGCCTGGATAACTTGGTGATGCAGTTAGACCCTGTCTGCAAGGGGTAGAGGTGCAGCTCAGTGCAAAGGCCCTGCATGAATCCCCAGTACCATGAAAGCAAAAGAGGGAGGCAGGAAGGGAGGAAGGAAAGAAAGGAAAGAGGAGGGAGAAAAGAACAAAGTGATACTAGAGGAAACACTATTCTGGGTCTAGAAATGTGTTTGCAGACAGCTAGATGAAGAAAAACAGTAACATATTTAAACTTGCATTAAAAGGTGCTAAAAGCCAGTTGAAGAAAAACACAAAGAAAGAAAAGCCCCTACTAAGCTGTCCCTCCGACGGAGAAAACACCAGAGAATGTCCCTCAAGCCGGCCTGAGCTTAACGCAGCTACCGAGAACATTTTTCCAGTTTAGTCCTAAACAGCCTAAGCATTGAACAACAGGAGCTACTTGCAGGAGCCATCCATTACCTCACTCTTTCTTGAGAGTCCCCAAATGTCTCCTTCAAGTTTGTCAGGTCAGGGTAGTAGCTTTCCGGAGGTGAAATGACTTCCAACAAGCCAGAACTGATCTCTTTAGAAAACCTACAGGGGAAAGTGGAGCGGAGCCATTTACTTCTCTTAATGTGCATTTCACTGTCTATTTAACACCAAAACATCAGCAAACATGTGATAGAGGTGTGACGTCACGGTCCCAATGTGTTAGCCGAAGTAGCTCATCCCTGACTGTATTTACTGGAAAACTGGTTTATCCGGTAGCCTAAGATTTCTGGCATTTTATTTCTTTTCTAAGTAATGCTTTTCAAAAACAGCATAAAATGCTGTTATCTTCAGAGTAGCATAGAAACCTAGGTGAGCTGCAGGCATTACACTGCTGAAAGGAATTGACTTTAATAATCCTTTAATTTCACAGAAAAATCAGAAAGTTAAAAAGAAAAAATGAATCTGTGTGTAGATCTAAACATATGACTTGTGCAAAATTCAAAGATCGTCCATTTGCAGGAAGCTTTCTACTACGCAGTGCAGGCTCAGTGCTTCCCGGCTGGAGACGTCCCCGGCTCTCTACAGTGGGCAGCAAGGCTCCCGCGTAGAGTGGACACCACAGCCCCATGAAACACTGCGCTCCACACAGACAGAACTAGCTAGCCCAAAACATCAGGAGGGTGGAGACTGCAAACCCTTTTCTAAACTTCCTACGTCAATCTGTGCTGAGAGAGACGTACTGGGGCTTCTTTTGCAAGTTTAAGCTGGAGGAAACACGTTAAATCTAGAGCAGGACACCGGTTTTTTTGCTTTCCTTTTGTCTTCGCTTTGAAGAGAAAGAATGCCTGCAGCTTGGCCTGCTGGCACACACCTGTGAGCCCAGCACTCTGCGAGGCTGAGGCAAGAGGGTCCTAAGTTTCAGCCCAGCCTGGGCAAACAGATTTAGCAAGACCCTGACCCCAGCAAGGCCCTTATGAATAATAATGTAGCCCAGTGGTAAGGCTCTGGGTTCAAGCCCCAATACTGGGTCTTGCTTTTTTTTTTTTTTTTTTTTTGCAGAACCAGGGATTGAACTCAGGCCCCTGCGCTTGCCAGACAAGTGCTTAATCCACTGAGCCATCTCCCCGGCCCCAATACTGGGGAAAATAATAAGACAACACATCTACTTTTAGGGGCAAAACCAGGTACAGTTCAATGAAGAAAGCCATATAGAGACTAATTCTTGTAATACCACTATCAAAAGTACCAAGCTAATACTGCCGAAAGTGCTAAGACGTGAAATTTCATAATCTTCCTGCTACCTACTATGCGCCCTGCTCACAGTAAACCGCTGGCTCACAGAGCAGAACTGATTCAGCCACAGTTCAGCACGGAGGTCTGAAATGCCTGCGAGGTTTTCTACCTGGACAACGGAAACAATTTTTCCTTGGTAAACAAAGGGTGAAAAGATTTAAATGATCTCATATAACTAAGTTATATTCACTGCCTCCAACAATAAAGACTATCATTGTGTTGTATACATATGACATTTGCATCTTTTCTATAGTGAAAAAAGCCAGTGTATCCCCCGAATAACTGGATTTGCATGCCCCGACTTTACACCATTCAAAGGCAGTGGCAGGTAAGGGACGACCCACCCCGCAGAGAAATGAGCTGCGAAGGAAGGCAGTTTGTTTTGGCAAAGAGCAAAACGAAAATAGCAACTAAAATACTTCCATGCCCAGAACAAGGAGGACTTACTCTTTCTCCAGGTTGGCCACAACACTGTGTACATAATCAATATCTGTCTGGGAGAGAAAAGAAACATTAAATTGGCATTTGTGTCTTTGTATTTTTCATTTAACTTTAATTCTGAACTCAAAAGTTAAGGGTGAAACACGCATTTCTGTATGCATCATATTTTCTCATTGCATTAAATTTCATTAAATACTATTAATACCATTAGTAATACAGTATGCAGAATTCTAAGTTTGTATTCTCAATTCTCACTAGGAAAACTGAGCGCCAAGATTATTTCCACTCCCCTTGAAGCACCCACCCTCTAGGCGGTGGGCACCGGGAGCGACGGATGCGGTATGCTACCGAGAGAAAGACTGTTCCAGTCAGACTGAAAACTCAGGCTCAGGATTTGCCACTGTAGCTACTGGACTACATAATCTGAAGTCGCCTCTCTCAGCTTCAATTTCCTATTCTACTTTTCACAAAAATGTTCAAAGGTAGGAGAAAAATAAGGCCTTGGAGACTGAGATGAAAGGATAAAAAGCACCTGTGCTGGATTATTCTGCGTCTCCTCCCAGAAGAGTAAAACCTCCGCCTGACCCAGAAGCACAAGGCCACCTGAGCCCCGGGCTCCCCTGGGAGTGCTCCTGCCTCTCCCGCTCACTGGCAGCGAAGAGCGGTGATTGCTGAGCTTGTGGGACTGGCTTATTTTAAAAGAACATGAGGTGGGGGGATGGGGAGATGGCTCAGTAGAATAAGCACTTGCCTGGCAAGTGCAAGGGCCTGAGTTCAATCCCTGGTTCCACAAAAAAAAAAAAAAAAAAAAAAAAAAAAAAAAAAAAAAAAAAAAAAAAAATTCTTCATATTATTTTTAAGAAGGTTTGTAAAGTCTCTAAAAGGTCTTCTTGTTATCCCATTCCAAGAACAGATCTATGAATCCGAAACTCATGTATATGCATCCACAGGGAGAGAAATGCAATGCGAAAAGTGGACATTAAAAAAGAAAAAAAAAAAAAAAGAGAGAGAGAGAGAGAGCATCTTCTCCTACAGAATAAAGTGTTCAGGTTTAAGTGAAATCAAATATTTTTATTAAGAGATTATTGATATGGCTACAAAATGGATGAACTTTGAAATATTAAGTCAAAGAAGCCAGTAGCAAAGAACTACATATTTTCTGGCTGTGTTTCTATAAGATTCCAAAAGACAGAAATCTGCAGGAACTGAAAATAGATTAGCGGCCGTCCCAGCTGGGACAGTACAGGGGTCAATGCCTGACAGCTAACAGTTTCTTTTTAGAATGAAGAAAATCTAAAACTGACTGGTGTGATGGTTGCATGACTGAACTTAGATGTGTGAAGATGAATTATGAGCAAAACAAAGGATGCAATAAAGGAAAAAACCCCAAGGATCACAGGCTGCACATACGAACTCCGGGAGGCCAGGATCCCAGCTTCTCTTAGGGTTCTATGTGGGCCAGCTCAGAACAAAAGGCGGTCCGGAGGAAATGGTGTGTGGAATCGGAATTCTGGGCCTCTGCTGAGACTGGGAAAAGTTCAATAGCAACTGCCACCAACTAGAACATCTTGAACACGCCGACATTTGGAAACAGACCTGGGACACCTGTGTAGTCTGCAGAACTGAACTAGCAGGAAAAGTAGAGAGAGAAGAGTGTCTCCCTGCTGCTGTGTCAGTCTTTGCCCTCCCCGAAGCTGCTACAGCGTCTTACAGAGAAAATTTCTCCTGGACCACGGTTTCTTTACAAGAGGAAGAATGACCCAGCTTCCCAGAGACACACCCAGGAAGCCCATTCTGGCCTCTCACCATGGGGAACAATGGGGACTGTGGCACAACTAGACCACCAAGGACACAGAGAAACAGAAAGAAGGTAGGGGTCACAATGACCATCCAATTCTGGCGGATCTTCTGGGTTCCTGTCAGCTCTAGCGCCTGATCAGACACAAGAGCTGACTTCATAACCCACCCACAAAGCTGGACTGGTCACCTTCAGAAACACAGTGAGAAGTTCAACTTAGCTTGAATCTGTAAGCAGGGAGTCTCCCTGCCCAGCCTCAGAGCCCACTGCCCAGCCCCAGTGGCCCTGCCTGTGACAATGACACCCGAGACAAGCTCTTTAGAGCAGCATGTGGCCTAGACCTGTTAGACTCAGGAAGGTTAGCAGAGACTCCCCTCAGCCCAATGGCTCCCTCAAGGATTATGTCTATGCAGAGACACTGCTACTTGGGGCTAAAGCCATAGGTCAAGCAAAAGCCCATCCCGTGGTACCACTCTGATAGGAATTCTCATCTGCGCATCGCTAAGAGCACAGCCACAAACTCCAACCAATCTGAGTGGCAACTTCACCTAGGCAGCCCAGCCCCTAGCCCGGCCCGGCTGGAGATTACACAAAGAGCGGAGCAGCCCGGCCAGCCACCACCTCGAGTTACAGCCTGAGCGCGCCATCACCGTACCGGGCAGCAACCCCTCCAGCTGCAGAATCCGTAGCAACACTGCCTGCCCGGGCCTGCCAAGCAGCCTGCCCTTCCAGAATCACTGGTCAGACCTAACAGTAAAGGCTCAATTCTCCCCAAATGCCTAGAAAGGCTATGGGGGGCGGGGACACGATTCCTCCAGGGCACACACAGCAATCCGTGGAGACCCAGGACTGCAACCACTCAGGGAAGCGCGACAGTTGCTTAGCAGCAAAACTGAGACTGAAAGCTAACAGACTCCAATTATGGACCCTAAAGGAATAAAGATCCATAAAATGACAGAAAAAGAATTTAAAATGATCCTCTTAAGGTAGTTCAGTGAATCCCAAAAACATACAGGTAGCAAATTAGATGAAATGTGGAAAATAATACATTAAAAAGAGAGAAGTTTGACAAAGAAATAAAAACCATAAAGAACCAAACAGAAATTGTAAAATTAAAGAACACAATGACTGATTTAACAATTCAACAGAGGGCCAGCCAGATAGCTCAGCGGACTAACGCACCTGCTTAGGCAGAGTGCAGGGGCCGGGGTTCGAGCCCCAGCGTGCCAGGCCAGCCCCACCCCTGGGGTGTGCTGAGGCAGTGATTGAGACTGGGCGTGGCAGCACGCTCCTATAATCCCAGCACTCAGGAGGCTGAAAACGGGAGAATCACTATGAGTCCAATCACATAGTGAGACCTTGTAGACCTTGCCCTAAATACATTACAAAATAAATAATAACAAAAAATAAAAATTCAACAGAAACCCACAATGGCCAACTACTCCAAGTAGAAGGACAACTCAGTGAGCTAGTGTGCAGAACCGTGAAACTGCCCAGTCTGAAGAACAAAATGACAAGGAAGTGCCCAAAGCCTACGTGACAGACAGGGGATCACAAAGAGATCAAATTTCCATACCATACAAATTGCATTAGAAGAAAAAAGACCACACAGTATATTTAAAGAAATGGCTGAAAACATCCCTAGTCTGGGAGTCAGTCCCGACATCCAGGTATTTAGAAGGACAGAGTTCTACCCAAAGCAGATAAAATGGGGAAAAAAAAAAAAAAAAAAATCGAAGACATAGAAGAAATTCTGAGAGCAGAAAGAGAAAAGAAACATATCACAAATATAGGAGTTCTTTAATTTTACATTTTCTGTAAAAATGTTTGCCACTTTTCTCTCAATCTAAAATTATTTCAAAATAAAAAGGTGCTTATAAGGTGTCTTTTAAAAAATAGTAATTCAAAGTGTCTTCTCTACCGGAAGCGCCGAATTCATGTTCTAGTGCAAATACAACAAGGTCTGGCAACGCGACACGGCCTGGTACTCGGAACTAAAACTTCACCAGACCACAAGCTCACGCCTTCACTTAGTATCCCAGACTGTTTTCAGGCTACAACAGCTGACACTGAACAGGCGGTGAAGTCTACAACGCTCACCGCTGGCCCTGAATACAAAGTGTACTATCAGGCCAGGGATGTAGCTCAGTGGCACCGTGCCTGCTTAGCAAGCTCAAGTCCTGAGTTCGATTCCTGGTGGGGAAAAAAAGTCCTGGACTCTGAGCAAAAGTGAAGCTCTTCCAGCACCCCTGTCGGGCTCGCTTTCTCCACCTGCCTCTGGCCGCTGAGCCGCTCACCAACTGGACTCCACGCCTAGGCCTTTCCTTGCTGCTCTGTAAACTGCATCCCGCGATGTGCTCCCCGCAGGCCTTTGCCAGCACAGCTCGCCGCATGCAGTGTCCGCTCTGCACCCTTCAGGCCTCTGCCCAGATGTCCTGCCCCGCCCCCACCCGCCTCCGGGTCAGCCGCGCATGCGTGTTCTCCTTATGCAGGTAACACCATCTCTGCGCTGCACCTTGCGGGGCTTTTCTGCCAGTACAAGTTTCAATGGAAAAAGGTTTTGTTACATTTAGTCCTATGCCTAAATCCTGACACTCTGAGCAAATATTTGTTCAACCACATGCAACTCTTGCAGCGTATATCCATTTTTGCTAAATGGTCATTTGTATGATTTATAACCGATCTATAAACATGTTAAAAATCTACCTTCTAGTAAATTACAGGAAAAAAAAAGTACTACTGATTCACCAAGTTAATTTATAACTTAAAACTAAAAATGAAGCAGTTACCTTGAAAGATAATAAACAAGTACAAGAAGACTTGAACGCTACCACTAACAGACACCCACAGGAAGAATACCCCAGTTGGGAACAAAATCGTTTTTCCTTCTTTTTTTCTTTGTATTGTAAGTTAAACTCAGGACCCCGTGCTTGCCAGGCAGGTGCTTGTGCCACTGAACTACATTCCTGGGCTCTTTATACAAGAGATACCATCCAGGACAGACCATCCAAAGCCCATTAACAATTTAAAGGGCAGTAATCACACAGACTGTGTTCTGTCAGTACAACAGCCAAATTAGAAAATCAATGACAGAAGGATACTTGGGGACTCCTCAACAGAAAAGTGTAAAAACAATAACCCATGGGGAAAAGAAGAAATTACAAGGAGATTTAGAACATATTCCACGTAAAAGAAAGTTAAAACATGACATGTTGTCATGGAATGCAGCTAAAGTGGTACTTTAAGGAATATTTA